TGCCATATCATCATTTCTAAACGAAAAAATGAACAACGGAAAAATGAACAGTTCCGTTAAATTTTACGACGGTCCATCACTTTGATGGTTTATTATGTTAATAATACCAAGTTAAATGTTTCAAGTGTTAATCAAAAATTTTGGAGGTTTAAAGTGTCACTTTGGAGGTTTTTTATGTAATTTTCGGAACAATTGCAAAAATGCCAGTTTTGGTGTGCCACTTTTCAAAAATATATGTAAATGTATAAACCTAGAGTCAATAATGTTAATTTTTTTTATGTATAAACCTGATTAAAATATATGTAAGTGTTATAGATTATACGTGTAACATTGATTTTCATTGTGACAAAAAAAATTGATAAGTCTAATATTACTTTAGTTGAATTTAGATATGTAAAAAATGTATTTATGAACTTTTGTTATAAAATTAATAATAGTATGTAAAGATTTCCATCATGACATATAATTTTAATTAAGATATTTTGCTCGTTAATATAAACGATTTGTCCCTTAAATCGCTTTTTGAAAGATACATATCATTTTATAGTTAGTGTCTTCTCAATTAATATATAGAGGATTAGAGTTTAAGATATTCGTTCAAAATCTGAAAAAGCAAAAATAATTGCAAATTCTTACATTTGATATAATGATTTTATTAAAAATAAAATAACAACATATTTTAACGAGAAAACTTACAACTCGTAAACATTAAAAATTAATTTTTTTTATAAATAGAGTAAATTAACCCAAAAATTTTATTTTCATTGCCAAATTTTGTTTCTTCAAAAATAATTCCTCAATTTTTTCTTCAAATTATATTACTACAAAAATAATCGAAAATTTGAATCGAACCAAAGTATGACTTTTTAACGTAAATCGAATACATGAACACGACCTATGTTCTTAAAGTAACCAAACTACCCAAACCAAAATTTCTGTTAAATATCCAAAATTATTTGTAATACCCGAACACGATATGGACTTTAACCGTTTGATTAAAATATCCAAACTATATAAATTATATTTGTATTATCTAACCAATTTTATCGATACATTGCAGATGTACTTTCGATATCCTAAATAATCCCTACATAATTCATATATACCCTCTTATATGATCTTTTACACTAAACTAAAATATTAATTGGGGTTAAAATAATTGTTGAATCTAGCTATATTGAGCTGACTCTTGCGATATTTGTTTTGCTCAATTGATGAATTTAGTTGAATATGACAACAACAAAAGAAAAAAAGTAAATAGTGTCTACAAAATTGTTGAATCTAACAGAACCTTAATTTTGTTTTTCTGGTGCATAGCACTAGATAATCTAAATGAAAATTACATCTTCATCTTTTGAATAATTTTTGTTTACTTTAAAACAAAATCAAACTATGACAAATGCAGAAATCTGTGCTTTTTTGGATCAAATCGTGTATTTTTTTTTTTAAAAGATCGAGACCAACTAGAAGGGCGAGCTCTTTTAAAAAAAAAAATCAAACCAGTCACTTTATTTCTCTCTTGTCAACGTGGTCATCTAAAGAGTGATAAAATGAACATTTTCTAAGTTCAAAATTTGTGGGAAATTCATGTTGGCGTTGGATTCCGCATATAGCTCAGAATCCTTAACTTACGAGTAGTTCGTATAAAAAGTTACTTCAGAGAATACAAATCGTTTTCCTATGAAAGTCAATTCACAAGGATCAGTTCGTATAGCAACCAATTCAGAAATACGAGTTAGTTCGTATAGAAGTCAACCAAAAAATGGTTCAGCTCAGAAAAAGCGGCCCAATTAGGAGAGATAGGAGAGTTGGGCCGAAAAGGAGAACTGGACCGAAAACCGACTTCGAGTCATTTTTGAAGGATTACGACTTGCGAATTGGGGAAGGAAGCTTCGTAAGTGCATAACGTACGCAATCACATAAAGGAGGAGAATTAAATATGTGATTGAAGAGGACGCGTGAAAGACTAAATTGTGATCTCGCATAAGTAGGGAAATCGTCTATATATGGAGGACATTCTGCAATCTCGATAAAAAGCTATACGCAATAAATA